CATCACAGCGTTGGAACTCCCGGATACAATTCAAAGGATTTTGTGTAGATTATTGAAATGCACTGACAAAAATCGATTAACAAAGCAACTGCAGCGCATAGAATACTGCGACATACTAAATTGTTAGATCACTAGTTGTTATCTAGGCCAATAAATCCAGCCCAAAAAAAACTTGCGAGTTCCTGTATCTTCATCCACTCAACAGTCACAGAGACGTATCGAGCGCGCAAATGCTCATTTCTTGGATGAACGTACCAACAAAATACCCGCAGCGATTACAAAATGAATGAAAAAGCAATGAGCTAGCCGAAGCGCTAAGGATGAGAATAAAATGTACTCTTGTTCCTCCCTTTTTCCAGAAAGTGATGATATATTTTTGCCTTTCCGGATACAATTATATTTCAGCAGCATGAAATATGATCATCCATTCCATACCTCTGTTACAGCTCTGCGATACGAGGATACTAAGTGCAAATAAAAATTTAAAAAAAAAAAAAAACTTTGAACATACGTTGATTGTTTTGAGGATTGCTGCACTTTGTGGATCGCATATTTTTGTCTTCGTAAAATCATAAATAAGCGCATTTATCTTGTTCAACACTTCGTCATTAGTATTTCGATCCAACAGCACGTCTGTAACATGACGTCCCTGGAAGAAATTATAGATGCAGAATCACGAAAACAATAGTGATGCTCCTCGCGAGGTGACTGTAAGCGTGGTATAGGCGAGCGTGATAGCTAAATTAAAAATTTTTAGTTTACACACAAGCGGAGGAAATCAGTTTGAAATTTCAGCTTTCTGACTTGTCTGGACCTCGAAATTGTCGCACCCTATCACCCACTGTTACAACCGTAGTGGAAACGATAAACGAGCAAAAGAAGTCCTTCTCGCACCTTTCCTGACATAATTTTTGCGTTTTTCTATCTACGCAGAAAGTTCCCGTATCTTGTCCGCCCCAAACGTCAAAATACGCGCCGAATGGGGAAAGTGTAATACGCTAAAAAACGACACGCTCGATCTGCACTGAACCAAAGGACAACGCGTATGGGGGGCGGACTCGCTAAAAACAATACGACATTCGAATAATTCCCATTACGATACACAAATACTGTGAAGATAGTAGGCAACCAACAGAGATATGCAGCCTCAAAAACAATGGCTTGGCTCAGTCGCGCTGGATGTGCAAGCCCATCGCAATAACAGCAACTACGCCTTTTGCCTCTGACATCCACGCAGAATCTTAATTTCGTAGTCTAATTCAGTACAATTACATAAAAAAGAAGCCTACAAGCCCTTCCAAAAACCGAAATTACCATTGGTGTTACTTTGCAAAATCGCAACAAGTTGATGTACGTTGCAAGCAGTGGCATCGGAATACGTTCAAGGAGTACAAGGTGCGCCCATTTTGCATGTTCCCGCTGATCCTGGAAATATAAGCGAGAAGTCACAAAAAAAAAGAACCAGCAACAAGCATGTCAAGCACTAATTTCCGAGTGTTGTGCATAAAAGAGCAGACCTCAGCCAACAAGTGAGAAAATCAAAACGCAACAGCAACGCATTTCAAGACTGAAGCCAAATCAGCCGAGACTGCATTTCGATAAAATTTTACAACTCTTTCTGTACGCAGGTCGATAAGAGTAAGCTCAGCCAAAAAGACATTGGGATCAATCAAACAGTATTCTCTTAAAGCACTAATTTCAAATGTAAAACAAAAATCCAGACAAACGGACGTGATTTTTAATGTGCGCAGGCAGTCTGACTGGCGCCCATCAC